CGGTCCGATCTAGGAACAGGTGGCGGCGAATTTGCTCTTATGGTTGAGAGTCCGGATGATGAGAAGGACGACCCCGAAAATGGAAAGAAGACCAAAAAGATACCAGGCGGTGTTCTTGTTTCTACTCAGGTATCTACAGCAAAGGGAGGGCTCCCGGGAGGCGGACAAGGACACAGTGGTAACAAGGAGGCTGCATGTGGAGGGGGTGGAGGCTTCACGAGTATTTATCGTCAAGGTGCGTACGGAATCGAGTACATCTTAATCGCTGCAGGCGGAGGCGGAGGTGGAACGTGTCGAAACGGAGGGGGAGGAGGAGCTTGTAAAGCTAGAAAACCTCAAGACGGTGACGACATTCGATGTGGTCGTTCCGGTGGAGACGTTGCTGGTGGCTCTGCTGGAAAGTGCGATGAGTACAACCCAATATGCAAATTTGTTGGTACGAATGGCACCTCGATGCAGGGTGGGAATGGAGCTGAGTTTGGAGGAGGCGGAGGAGGAGGCCTTTTTGGAGGTGGTGGGGGAGGATTTTCACCTGGAATTGTTGGGGGCGGTGGTGGGGGAGCTAGTTACGTTAATTCAAGTCTTTTGAACGTGAAGAGCATACATATCGAAGCGGGTGGGGTTATTAAGCCTGGTGGTATGGATGAAAACCCGCCACAAAGTGTCCGAGGGGCCTATTGGGATCTGGTTGGTGGTGTTGCAGGTGAAGGTGGTACTGGGTCAGCACGAGCGACTGCGACTGGTAATCATGGAGGGGTACGGATCGCGAGACCTGGATTCTTTGACGACATGAAGTTTCATCGCTAGCGAATGCGAGATGTACTGTCCAAACGGAGAGAAGGCTGAACACGTTGAGGTTTCTCTTCTAGACGTTGACAGTGACGTCGCTCACGTCTGCATCTGCGGCGGTTGCAGTCATTAACTCGAGTGAACCGCTATCTTCCTGATAATCGTGTTGGAAGATATGCTTAAGCACAGAATGGGTAGCCACCGGGGGGCTTGCATCTCTAGTTTCACCGGTGACGGCAGTAACTTCAGCTGAAGCGCCATCTGGTGAAGACGGGAATGGTGACGCCTCACCAGCAGCAGGTGGAACCGGAGCAACTTCGACTGTCGCATTGTCCTCCAACGACTTTGGCGGAGCTTCAACAAGACCTGCGGCTTCATTACCTTTGACCGATCCCGTGGAGTGACGGCTTTTCTTTAGGCTGCGACGAAGTGTATCAGCGGCAACAGCAGCTATTACGCTCGTCTATCAACAAAGAGAGGCATCTCAGCTGTGAATCATGACAAAAAGAACGAGTTGGAATTAATTTACGCACCCGAAACTTGCGACGCATGATGTGGCGATACTGCCGGAGGTTGTCCGTGTCTTCGGTCGAGACAGCCAAAGATTGACGCGATGTGCGTTGCGACTTGAACCATTCATATTCGAGTGCTTTAGCTGCTGTAGGTCGCGCTTCAGGTTGAACGTGGAGCAGAGCCGAGATCAAACCTTTAGCCTCACACGAAATAGCATCCCAGCGAGGGCCAGACATGTTAAACTGCCCCGACTGAATGTTGCCAATCATTTGGTCTCGAGTCTGTCGCCCATCGAGATCGAATGGATGAACTCCGCTTAGCAGCACGTAGAGCACGATCCCTACGCTCCACACATCGCTTTGGACACCGACTTGAGATCTTCGTGCTGGCTTGGGCGTCGAGGCTTCCGTATCAAGTTCCGGTTCCGAGGACTCAGGTGATTGTGCTGCTGGGAAGACCTCCGGTGCGCAGTAGGCCCAGGTCATCCGACCTTTGGAAAGCAAACTGCTCTCTTCGACGAGTGCTGCTAGACCAAAGTCTGCCAGTTTAATGCTTGCAAGCTTTGGGCTTGTAGAGGTTAGCAGCAAGTTTTCTGGCTTGACGTCTCTTGGTCAACGCAAAACTGTGAGACATAACACGCACAACTTCTATAATGGGTGAAGGATCCGCCTTACCTGTGCGCGATACCAAGTTCATGGAGGAACCGTAATGCTTCAAGAAGGTCGGCAATGAAACGTCGAGCGTCCCATTCCGAGTACGCTCCTTCGTCAATTAAAGCCTGGAAGAGCTCACCACCCTCTGCAAGCTCCATTATGATGTACACGAACTCTCGTGTCTCCAGAACGTCGTGTAGTGCAACCACGTTCGGGTGAGAAGCACAACGACGTAGTAACGCCACCTCACGCTCCCATTGAACAGGATCGTCATTGATCAGCTGCTGCTGTGCTTTATACAGGCGTTTGATGGCAACCAATTTACCACTTGCACGCTCGCGTGCACGAAATACCCGTGAGTTAGTTCCTTCCCCAAGAACCATCTCTGGGGTATCTAACTCGTAAAACTGGGTCAACGAAGGCCAACGACGACTTGCACAAATTCCCATCGTTGACTGGAACTACAGTAGACGCAGCACTGATGATCAGAGAAACACAGTGTGAGCCGCTTTGCCTAGTTGTTAGCCTACTTAAAAATACCAGAATAAGACACTAAGAAAAAAAAAACTTGAGCACCGTGTTCTTGCTGGACACTTAGAAAAAAAAACTTAAGCACCATGCTCTTGCTGGAACGGCATGAGGTTGTTAGCACCTCGTAACGTTAATTTAGGTTTGTTTACCGGTATTTGCTACATCTAAGTACCGGTACTTGGAACAGGAGAAAAGGGAATTTTCTCAACATTTCGTTTTGATAGTGTTAACATTTTAAAACTGTCAAAACACGAGCAACATCCACGCAACGTAAACGTATGTTGCGCTAAGGGGGAGTGGCTATCATCCGCACATTTCGACACGGCACTTCGCCAAGCCACAGACTAAGAGAGACTCTACCTTGACTATGCTCGGCCGTATCGCTCTCCGCAAGGCTGCGCTCAGCTCGTCCAAGCTGTCGTCGGCTAAGATGATGCGCCCCATGGGATTGCACACTACGGGTGTTGTGCGCAAGAACGAGGAGGCCTCGGAGGAAATCCAGGTGCCCACTCAGGGTCTGCTGGAGCAGGCTGGTCTGACGGACTGGAAGATCTCGGCCCCGATCATCGGTGCCCTGGCCATCCCCGCCATCTCCAACCACGTGCGAATTCGACTTCCGTGCTATTAGCAGCTAAGAAACGCGACCGACTGACCTGTGCCCGTGGTGTTTTTAAACAGTTCTACGTGCTGAACGAGGAGTCCCAGCTGGCCTGTTGCTTCCTGCTCTTCTGCTCAGCCTCTTACAAGTTCGGTGGTGAGATGATCGCCTCGTACTTCGACGAGCGTGCCGCTGCCATTCTGGGGTAAGAACTGCGAGTTATAAAGCCTTTTTATGGCGTATGGAGCATTAATTCGTTGATTGTCTACAGTGAGCACAACGCTGTTGAGGACGCCAACCTGGACCTGGCCAAGGAGACTCTGGAGACCCACAAGGCCTTGCTCAACATCCACGAGGACATTGCCGCCGTGGCTGAGGCCCACAAGGAGGCCGTCGCCCTTATGTGCGAGGTGCAGGCCTACAAGCTGCGTCACAAGACGCGCGAGACGTTCGTCAAGAACCTCGAGTCGATCCGTGAGATCGAAGGCAGCTACAACCTCGAGCTGCAGAAGAGCATGGTGGCCAGCGCTACCAGCAAGGTGCGTACGGTCGTCCAGAAGGGCGACAAGAAGCTTAAGGACGCTGCCTTCAAGCACGCTCTGGACATTCTGGGCAACGCTAACGTGGACGACAGCAAGGAGGACGACGTGGCTGCTCTCTTCACCAAGGAGCTGCGCGCCTACGCCTCGGACCTGGAGGCCAAGCAGGGACAGGTCGTCAAGCTGACCGCCGAGGAGCAGAGCGAGCTCCAGGCCGACCTCGACGCTTACATGAACCGCTTCGGTCTCGAGGACGCCGACTTCAAGGCCCCCAAGGAGGTCAAGCTCGAGCTCATGTAAGCTGTCGTTATCGTCATCTGAGCTGTTGGTACATGCAGTGTCAGCGAAGAGTGGGCGATGGATGCAGCAGCCACTTGACAGTTTAAAATTGAATGGATGATCCATCTACTTGAGAGAATAAGCAGAACGGAAGGTCCGAATACCCGCTGTTGCTGTCGTATACTGCGCTTCGTTCTTGAAGATGTCAAGCATAGGTGATTCATTTTCACAAAACCCTGTCCGTTTGGGATCGAATATGCTGAAGGTTATTTATTCTCAAAGTACATTGGTTTCGTTTAAAGAGGGAGTTGTCTCATGAATAGAGAATCAACAGTACGCGAACCGTTTTGATTGAACGGTGGTTTGTGGGCATTTTTGAATTCTTCCTCAAGGAACGCAAGCACAAGGCCAAGCGCAGGGGACGGACAAGAAGACCAAGACGGGGACAGAGCCATGGGCCGAAGGAAGAAATCTACCAAGAAGATCCAAACGCGCAAGAAGCAGGTGGTCTCCACCGTGTTCAAGTGCCCTTTTTGCTCGCACGACGAGGCCGTCGAGTGCAAAATGTACGTCATAATCCCCCCGTAGATGCGTTACCGTGGTTGTTAACAATACGTTTTACGGTACTGGTTTTACCGTACAGGGATCGTGAGCGCAATATTGGTCACTTGTCATGCCGTGTGTGTACCGAAAGCTTCCAGACTCCAATCCACTGTACGATGATCTAATAACTGTATCGCAACACCAACCCGCTATTCATTCATACTGACCGTTGCCTGTTGTTTACCTGCAGATTTGAGCGCACCAATTGACGTGTACACGGACTGGATCGACGAGTGTGAGGCGCTGAATGCATAGGCACGAGGTGCAGCAGTTCCGCCCGCTTCAAGCCAGCACCGCAATGTGGTGTGTAGGATCCGGCAGGGAGCAGAAGAATGGATGCCCAGCATGTGACTTGTATTAACCGCAACTAAACCCTGCGAGATGGGCGTCCATATTCCCCAGATTACGCTGAGTGCCAAGAAGGACGCAACGTGAGCACGTTTTAGGTAAATAGATAGGGTGAGCTGAGGCACTGATGATTTTGGTATAGCTTATGTTGAAGTTGTGGTCAGGTAACGTTCTCTTTCTTCTTGCTCTCCTTCTTCTCGCGACGACGAGCCTCAGCAGCTTCTCGGTAACGCTTGCGTTCCTCCAATTTACGCACTCGAGCAGCTAGCACTTCACGTCGGCGATTAAACTGTTGCGGATCATCTCCACGTTCTGCCAACTTGTCGAGTTTGCGCTGCTCCTTTGCAATGGCCAGCTCTTCTTCCACAACACGAAGCTTCTCGACCTTGCGTCGCTCGCGTGCTGCGTCAGCTTTTGCTTGTTTCTCCTTCTGAGCAACTTCCTGCTCCGCCAACTTGCGTTTTGCGTATTCTTGAGGATTCTCTCGTTGCAGACGTTCAAGTTCAGCTTCTTCTTCGGCACGTTGCTGCTCTTGTTGAGTCCGTAGAGCGTCCCGCTTAGCAGCCTGACGACGTCCCTCAGCTCGTCGAAGTGCAGCCTGACGACGCTCGTCCTCCTGCTGCATTACCAGACACAAGTTGAGCATACCAGCGTTGAAAATGAAGTCTCGACAGAGTGTGGAGAACGCGGCAAACTCCAGTGGTGGCCTTTCGACCTCTTCATCTTGCGCTTCGTTGTCCTCGAACAGCTCAGATGCCAGATATCCTAGCAAGAAGTCAAACACGAAGTCGTCCTGGAAGTAGGCCACTCGTTGTCGATATGTTTCAGGAAGTACCTTCCACAGCTCTGCAAAGACTGCGCGAAGACTTGATCTCAATTCTTCAGGACCTCGCTGTCGTCTTCGATGCTTACTGCGCAGTTCCTCCATTCGAGCAGCCTCGGCGAATTGATGTTTCTCGAACAGAACCTCAAGTGCGGCTGTGAACTCGCGTCCATCATGAAGGTACTGTGCCAATGCAGTCACATCCTCGTCGGACTGTGCTCGCATCATAACGGTGTCGTCCCAGAAGACAACCTTTCCCATGGGAACGTAGTTGACCCACCACGTTGGGAAGCGTCGATGCAGAGTAATGGGGTGAGCTGCTTCATCGGCGATAAATTCCGTCTCGATACTGGCAGATTTGATTTCTCCATTGACCTCGCGTCGCTCCTCCGATCCCTCTACCTGTTCGCGAGTTATCACAGCATGGGTTAAAAGGTAGTTTTTGCTGCTCAATACTTTGTGAGCGAAAGTGAACCGTTCATCTCGCGCACCACCGAGAAATGTGGGGCACGCCGTACCATGGAGTGGAATGTTCTCGAAATCAGGTTCAACACGCGCTGTCACTGGACCGACGGTGAGGTTGCGTACGGATAATTTGGTCTCCCGATCTTGTAGCAAAGTTTCGAGGCCAACGCGCATTCCACCGCTCAATACGACCACATCTCGGCCTCGGTGCTTCGCCTTCCATCGAAAAAGTAGATTCAGCAGTTGCTCTAATTGTCGACGGCACGAAACCCAATGTTGAGATATTTCGTGACGGTCATACAACTTCCATCGACCAACCGCTTCTTCTTGAGCAGAATCGGATCCAGAAGAAGAAGCTTCTTCACGCATAGCGTCCACGTGTTTTGCGTCTGTGAGAATGAGTGGAAGCTCCAGGCAAAGCACAAATATCATTACTGCCTTCTTTTTGAGAGCTTTCTCGAGTTGCAGCCATTGCTTTTCCCCGATAACTGCACCCTCCTGCTGGGTAAGGGGAGTCATGAGGCGATTATTGCAAGTCACCACGTCGTCGCGAGGGGTGCTTCGTATATCACACATGAAAATTCCAACTTCGCCGGTCTGAATGAATTGTGCTGTGCCTCTTTGTTCGTCGACGTTTTCCGCCGTGAATTCGTTCTCATTCTGATTTTGGTCTCGGAGGCTTTCTTCTCCATCTGCTTTCATGTTTTCCGCACTTTCAGATCGCTTATCACTGCTTCCAGATTGTTCAGAAATAGTGTTTTGTGTTTGTTCAGGACCGCTGCCATCCGGTCTGGTCGATAATTCGGAGGGCATCTCATCGACATTGGTGACGTCATGCCGCATCAGTGAAAGTTGGTAGTCCGCAGCAATTGTCTTAGCCTCAGAAAGCACAAGTTGCGCAGCTTTCGTGTTGAGTATTTCATGATTTCGGAAGAATGGAGCAATGTCGGCTTGTGAGCGTAGGAACCAATTGCTGGTATGTGCGAGTGTTTCACGTACGTTTGGCACGTTCCAACAAATACGATAACGCTGCTGAAGACGATGTCGAATCTTTCGACGCAATGATGCCTCATGTGACGCTGTTTCGCTTTCCTTTTCAGTTGATTTCTTTCGATTGTTCAATTCGCGACGAGCCCACTCAAAACACTCAATAGCAGCTTCGTGCATCGGTACTTGGCCTCCCAAGTGCAAAACCATGTCGAGACCGCACCAAGACACTTGAACACGATTTTTGATCGCCACCCACAAACTGTCACCCGACTCGTCCATTTGTTCGGGGAAGTTTGAACTTACAGTCATGAAATTCACTGCAGCTGACGCGCAGGAAGGCGTGTGAAAGCTCCCACGACGGGTTTCCGAGTTCGCAATTCCCTCAAAACGGTAAACATATCGACGTTCTGGTACCAGCAATGGAAGTCCAAACACGTGCGGCTGATAGCGCCTCAAAGCTGCTACTACGCGGATATCTTGGTTGGCGAGGATGTCCGTCACAACACACACAACGCGAGCATCTGCGTCAATCTCGAGTAGAATTGGCACCGTGAAGTTCATTTTCACTGGATCACCGGGATCACCCTCAGCAAGTGGTTCTTCGGAGACTGCTTTTGAAGCCTCCGTGAGAACCATTCGTCCAATGACAGGTCCGAGGACAGCCTTAGGCAACGTCACACGTGGAAAGAAGCGAATAGTCTCGTCTAAAAACCCTCGCCGATAGTCACTCACAAAGCGATAGCTTACAAACGTCCGGCATCGAGTAGCCAATTGGCTATCACTGGCTGCTGGTTGTTTATCGCGTCCTGCCACTGACACGTTCGACCCACTTCCAGTGTTGGTGACACTCGCGTATGAAAATCGGTTGGAAAAATATCCTTTGGAAATTGCTGCACCTTTCCCTACGACTGCTGTAGCTCCCTTAGCTCTCCTCTGGTCCCGATGAAGCAGCTCACGAGCCTCACTAATGGAGCCAACAGACGTGAGCGTCAGCTTTTCGCTGAGTTTTTCGTCTGTTATCTCGAAGGAGATGGAGCTGCCACTCTTACGACAGCATATCACTGCAACTTCTCGATGGACTCGGTTCACAAATTTCCACGCAAAAAGTTTCTCAAGCAACTTGACGATTTCTGTCCGCAGAGCAGGATAGAGTTTAGACGCCCCCCACATCATCAGATCACCTGAAATAACCATAACAAGCTGCTGCACAGGATTTTTGGGTCGTGTGGACGCTGATCGAGCTTGCTTAACCTCAGAAGAGCTTGAAGTCTCTAGAGCTTCATCGATAACCTTCCAAGACTGAGCTGAAAACATACTAATCGCAGGAGTACTGCTTGGTTCGCCCCGAGATCGTGCAGCGCCACTAGGAACGCTCTTTTGATCTTCCGCTTGCATCGTACTGCAGTACTCGTAGACTTCGTGACTAACATTGACAACGATCATGCGGTTGATGCCAAATGTTGTGGTGAATGCGACTTTGTTACCACTACTCTTGCTGCCATACGCCAGCTCGACCCAGAGTTGGTTTTGATAAAGTTGCCACAGCTCGAACGTAATTCCTCTGAGTATCTCCACGATTTTGGTTAGCGTGGCGTCGGGTACTCTGTGATTTCCGAAATTGTCGAGAATAGAGCGGAGATTCTTTTGGTTAAAAAAAAGATCCACGTCTTCGTTGAGAAGCATGAGATTGCTAGTGTATCCGAGTATTCGATTTATCGGAGGAACTGTCCACGCAATGCGATACACTTCTTGCAGCCGGAACCGTAATTCTGACCGTAGACGCTGGAAGTCGTCACTATTTTCATCATGGGCGCTACTTTCGACTTGACTAGCGATAGGAACCACAAGAGCGGCGAGCTCCTCGTTGGTAAATGCACGACTCATGTCCACCTGGCCTCCTAGATGAAGAAGAAGCTGTGGACTGGAGAGAGGTTCTGATAAATATTCATCTTCAATGCCGTGCCATGGATTGAAGCGTTGATGCTCCTCGTCTTCACAATTTCCAAGGGTATCGCCGTTGCGGTGGCTTGCATCTCCAGCTAGCTGCGCAGTGAAAGAAACCATTCCATTTGCTAGAATTCGGGACCACTGCGAACGCTTTTGAGGGTTTGCAGACGTCGCGTCAGGTCCTAGGAAGTCCACCAACGCATTGCAGTTTACTACCACCCATTCCGATGATAGTGAAACCCCAGCTGGGGTGAAAATATGACCGAGGACAGTGTCTTTCTTCTCCATCAAACCCTGAGCGAAAAACGTAACAAATGACAGCAAAATTATAGAGAAGTAAGAATGTGTTGAGTAAAACTAAAGTGCGTTACCTCGAACTTGATAGCGTAGCGGGTGTCTGGATGAAGGCCTTCGATTTTGATAATGGTTGGAGTAAATGCGCCCACTTTAACTTTCGTCTTGTAGCTGCACGTTAATAATTCAAGCATTTGTAAGACTCAACTTAACAGCTGAAGCTCAGTTATTTGAAAGACGTTGTTACCTTTGCAGTGTCACAGGGTCGGTCAACGTACAACAAAGATTTGGTACGGGGCGATCAAGCTCGATAAGAATTCGTGCAGTCTTGGGTGTGACTCGACCGACAACCGGGCCGAGAATAAGCCTGGCTTCATCATGATGCTGGGTGTAGAATTTCACGTCACTTGAAGCGCCGCGTGCATGTGGCACTAGCTCCAGTACGCAATACTGTTGCGATGTCAGTATCCCCGAGGGTATTTCTTGTTGGATCGAGTAGCAGGTCACCAGATCTTCATCGGCACAGCTAGCCAACTGTTCTAACGAAGCCACCTTAGAAATTGGCCCCACAACAATTTGTTGAAAAGATACATTGGTAGATTTGTCGGTGACTGTAGTCCGCGAGGAAAAAGCACCACAGCAAACGAATACGACATGAAACTTCGGATTCTACGCATTGCAAAAAAATCAGTGTCGTTATAAACAAAACGCCTCGTAGGCAAACGTACCCGGTGCAGTTTGTGAAAGATCAAATTAATCAATCGGGCTCGCTCTTTTGGATACACCCCCCACGATGTTATTCCCAGAGTTTCAAGAAAACCACTTGAATCGCCCACTTTTTCTTCTTCTCGAGAACCTCGGTGCCACATTTGCGTCAATTCGACGCTCTCACCGCGTTGCGATATTACTGGGACATCACACATAAGAACAAGCGTGCCGACGTCTTCAGCTTGGTTCACTCGAACGCCTTGGGAGTGATCAACGCGCAGCCAATACTCCAAGGCCGCCCATTGAGAGCTCGATAGCAGTGTTTCAGGAAACTGTACGAACGGTGTTAAGTGCTCACTGTCCAGTACTGCCTCAAGTGTATCAATCATTAGCACCGCCACATCGCTCTGAAGCCGATACAAATATCTATCAGAAGGCGTAGCACTGTGTGATCGAAAATCACCAACTTGCCCATACTCTGCCAACACGCGTTGAACAACTCGAAGGAACGAAACGGGAATATCTTCGTGTGTCATAAGTGTGCGTAAAACACCAATGCTTGGAAACCAATGAGCCCCACGTGCAAGTAAAAGTTGACTTTTAGGAGTGTTCCAGTGGTGGCGAACACAATTCCTCACGACTTCATGCAGCTCTGAATCCCCACGTTTCTGTTGATCTTGCGTAAGAAGACAATACTTTCTCTTAAGATCATGAGCCAAAGCGACTAAACACCCAATATGCACGGTTACATTGGCTTGCAGTGCGCCAACGACGGGGAAAAAGTGATCTACCACATTCCCGATATAAGACGGTGACGGATTTCCTCCTCCGGTTGTGGGGCTGGCTATTGAACCGTCTAAAAAACGATCCTCCGCCACAAGTACTAGCCGAAAAGCCGGAAGATGCTCGTGTGGTGTTTGAAATACCCCTGACCCGTCATTTTGCAATCCCTTGAAAACACCAGTGCCACCAGAAGAAAATGAGTATCACTATTCCCAGGAGCGGCAAGTTTGCAATTCTACCTGGAAGGAGAGATCATACGTGCGTCCTGGTGCCAACCCCGTCATGCTGAAAATTGCCGGTCGGTACGGCTCAACTTGCTTGACCACTTGATGCCTTTGCGATGTTAATCGATCCACAGCGACACAAGTAATTTCGCATTCAGCGTCACATTCGAGAAGAACTTGAGCGATGCGAGGGGTTGTACACCCCACAACTGGGCCTAGCTGTAGGCAACAAATCGAAACACGAAAATCAGTTAGCATAGAGACACGATGAAGGTTTTAAAGGATATCACCATGATTCCTACAACTCGATTAATCTCATGTTTTCTTTGTAGTGGCAAAAGCTGAGCTTGAAATAAAGCGTAAGGCGCGTCCACATCCCCTGAGCTTCGCTTTTCACTTGTCGATGATATTGATTCCCCGCCTAATTTACCCATTGAAGAAATCTGACCGTATTGCGGTCGTCTGTCCGATGCCTCGTGACGGACATCGTCTGGATTGGTCTGCGGCTGACCATTTCCTTGATCTCGCAGACGCACAGCACTAGACACGTGAGCACCGACCACCGGCCCACATACTAATTGCGTAAATGACAGAGTAGTGTTCATAACACTCACAAGACTTCGATAACCTTCCACATCATCGAACGAAAGCATGACCACCTGCCGCTTCAGGTCAGAGAGATTCCACTCAATCAGCTCTTGAATTATTCGCCATTGTCGTGCATTATCGACGCTTGGGTCATTCATCAAGCGAGAGAAATCACTAGGATCAGCAGCTTTTGTCTTACTGAAAAGAGGATCACTCGTTAATAGCAACACCGCAGAGGCGGATGGAAAAGCCTTCAGCATGGTTGAAATATGCCTGGTGCAGCCTGTCTCTCCATTCTGAGACAACAAGACGTGAAACAGGAAAAGAAGCAATTAGCAAAGAGTTTGTGTACGGTTGATATACACGACTTCAGCCCTTGCACACCTCAGTTCGCAGATCAAAATGCCCCACTATAGGACAAAGAATTACGCCATCGTCAAGCTGGAGGTAGTTTGCATTATATTGAGGATGCCCCCAAAGACCTTCAATGTAGGATTGCCACACTGGATACGCCAACCCCATCAGATCTGTTTCAATAGCTGTAAATTCAGTTTGTCGTCTGCTCTTCCATTCGGGAAAACCGCTGTAAAGTACACTTTCGTTGCTGTCGAAGCACCAATTGCTGTGACTACGAAGCAACTCACAAACACATGGTTCGCCCAGTACACGTCGATACTCTTGCTTAATCATATCCAGAACGTGGTCATTGATTTCTCTACTATCTCGTTGACTCTATCGCACACCAAAAGCGACACCACGCGTAACATTAGCGAGTTGTTGATAGATTGATGAAAAGTGAAGAGACCACTTACAGCTCCGTGTTCCAATAACTCGAGCATCTCGGAAACTATCTGCAGTGAAAGAAATATACCATAATGAATCGTAAGAATCGGAATTTGCGACTCGTAACTATCTCTTGAGATCTTCTGGTAAACTTGTTTTTCAGGTGATCGTCGAGGTCTCCGAAGTTTATCACCGATGCTATGATGATTTAATAATCGGATGCGCCAACGAGAAGGAGCAGGTAGAGACTCTTCTTCATTTGTAAGACATTTTGTCGTAATCATCGCAACGCACTGATCACGATCGGTCTCACGGATACCCAGAAACCGGAGTACGTACGCTTTACCAGGTGAGAGCCCAGAAACTGTAATTAAAGCTGGTTGAAAAGCCGGAATCTTACACTCTCGTGTTGGCACGAAACAATTCACCTCCGTCTCTGCACCTTCTTGTGGTAACGCAAACGCGAAGCACTTGACCGTGGTAGGAGTGTCCACTTCAAGAAGCAGACTAACTCTCGTCGCTTCAACCTGCAGCAAAAAAAATTCCATAAAAGAAAAGAGATAAATATTCAGAAGGTCACCACGACATGCAACACCACACAAATACGATACCTTCCCCACAATTGGCCCCACCACGACTTGAACTCTCTCCGCATATTCGTCCAGTGATCCAAAGTGCATGTCGTTATAATACAGCACCGTATGGCTGTTCTTAAGTCTTTCCGTGCGTTCTTTCAACGCGTCTGCCATGCTTCTCACTGCATCACATAGCGAAAACAAACAGCTGATCCTGCTCAGCAACGCCTTCGGTCTCGGGTGAAATACACACCACTTCAAGAACATGGTAAAAGTCATTTTGTCGCCGCCCTCGAGCTCCACAAAGTCGAACGCCTCATACGCGACCGTCAGTGCATCCATTTCAGGCAAATTGTCCTCCTCTTCTATGATTTCGAGTCTATAGAGTCCATCACAGCACGTGCTGATCACGAGTGCCAGCTCCGCCTCCACGATGTCGTCCTCAATGTCCAGATCCACCAGTTGAAACACGAAGCGAGCCTTGTCCGCCATCGCCCCCTGCGCCAGCATCGCTGCCGTCGTCAGCAGCGTCACCAGGTCCACGTGAGGTGTGACAGCCTGCTTCCGATTGGACGAGACGCAGCGGAACGTGTCAAAGAGGAAATTTACGTGGTGATCCAATTCCGGGAACTCGAGCACGCACTGTAGCTCACGCCGTGTGAGCGCCATGCCGCCCTCCACTCCCTCCACATTCACCCACGTGCGGTACACGCGCAGCATGCGCTCCAGCCGCGGTAGCGCCAGTAGACCGTTCAGAGCGCGGGCATGGTCCAGCGCTGCCATTTGGCGCCAAGTGCGGAATCCAAGAGTGATGGTCAAGATGCTTGAAGCTTCAGTTGAAGCGTCGCTTGAGGTGATGGTGATTACTGCACTGAACCTCCTGTATTACGCTCAGCGTTTATGCATGGCGCAGTTTTCTCGTGGTTTGCAGACGGTCCTACAGTAGATGCAATGAAGACTCGAGATTCCTACTCGTGTTCGACGCGGGCAATGGCTGCATGTCTTCTTGTCTACAGCATTGATGATGCATTGTGTACTTGTCCGTTACTCCCGGCACGAGTGTAATGGCAGAGCGGAATGAAGACAGGGAATCGCCCATCCATCTGTCTTGAACTGGAGTGGGGTGTCTGAGCAGGACATTCCTGCCAGGAATATCCCCGCAAGTCAGAGCGTAGTCGCAAACATACTCAGAACACACAAAGCTGTCTCTCCAGAACCGTACAAAACGAGATTGACCGAAAAAAGAAGAAATAAATTGCCATACAGTGGCTGTGTATACGCCACAGCGAACTTCGAATCGCTGTCAAAACCTGAAAACCCCCACAGCAGATTAGAGACAGCCGTTTGATGCGCTCCTCGTCCTCTTCACGCGGCTCGCTGCGTCGCTTCTTCTCGCATCGACGTCATCGTGTGCCTCGCGGCGCTTCGGCCCGCGCAACTCCGGCGTCCGGAGCTGCGGCTCAGCGATCACTAGCGGCGCGGACGCGACTGCTGGACACATGGAGTTTACCGGAGCTCTTTGCGCTACGAGAACTTGTACACGTCGCCGTGAACAAGACCTTTATCGCGCCTGAGGTGCAGCTCGACCCTCCAGCACTTCAACGCGCTGTTCGCGGCGACGATCTGATGCGCACAGGCGCCAGCAGCTCCGCCAGCTCCAGCACAACCGCAACGTCCAGTATCGAGGATCTTAAGCGTCAGCAGCAGCTGCAGACCCACGTGGACTCAGCACTGGTGCGCAGTAAGCGCTTCTACTTCAGTCGACGCGCCGACACGAGACTGCGACTCAGTACGAGGAGACAGTTCGTGCGGCTCTTCCCGCTTTTGGGACGCGCATCCAGAACATCGCAGCGCACACTGTTCCGGGCCTTTGACGCCAATGATACGGGGAAAATCGAGTTTGACGAGCTGTGTGAGATGCTGGCCCGAGTGAAGCAAGCTAGAGGCTCGTCAGTGGGTGAAATGGCGGAGCTGGTCTTCGCCTGGTTCCAAGGAGACAAAAGCGAGGCTGTATTGACCCATACGGACGTCAAGCTGCTCGCAATGACAGCTATGGAGCTTGAAGGTGACAGCAAAGTACAGACGGAGCATGGATACGACTTAGTAGCGTCTCTGATGAAGTTACTGCTGGAACGTGAGCAGCACCAAGTGACAAAACAAGTTTTCTGCCAGCGAATGGATTGTGAACTGGGTACTCACGTGCTGCACGTATTGTTCGCTCCTTTTGGGGTAGTAAAAGCACTTCTGGATGAGGAGACGATACTGCAGGAAGTGGACACGACACGGTGGAGGGCAGGAGATACGGCGTACGTCGTGTCTAATAGCTGGTGGACGCAATGGCGGAGATACGTGCAGCCTGATCACTGTAGTCATCATTCTCAACACAATCAGACAAGGATCAGCAATAACCAGCATGAGCAGGAAGCAGGAGAGCAACAGGAGCAGCAGCAAGAGAGACACGCTCAGCCGCAAGTTGCGGTGTGTCATCTTCGTCCTGGACCTATCGCTAACAGCGATATATGTGCGAACGAGCAGCTAGGAACGCTACGACCTGGTCTTATTGAAGATGAAGACTTCGTTCTCGTTTCCTCCACTGTGTGGAAACGGCTTGTTCAAGTTTATGGAGGTGGACCCGAATTCCCGCGACAGATCACCGCAGTTTCTTTATCCGACGAACAACTGGAAATGCCATCAAGAGAGGAGGATGGAAAGCCGATCGAATGCACAAATGTCACGTTGGTCTTGAAATCTCGAGGTCAACTCGATCAACATGTGCAAGTGGACTTGTATCCTGTGGTGTTACAAGTTCGACTGGCACGACATGACTCTCGACACGTGTATCTTGTGTACTCACGACGGTTCTTGATGCATCGCACTTCGTCTATCAAGGAAATTGTGCATCGAATGGGCATCATTCCCGATGTAAATGCGAGAGAGGTTACAGTTTGGTTACGTCGTCGTCGTCTCCAGTCGTGGGCGCGCTTGGAATGCAGTCTTGAAGCCCCGCACGCTACGCTTGAGGGATTGCAGATTACAAGCGCCCACGAGTTACTGGTAGACTTCCGTGCTCTGGACATTGACGAGGACCCACAAAGCGTCGCTCAGCAACGTCGACGGACCAGTATTGGCAGTATTCTGCCTCGAACACCGTTTACTGTACCCATGCTACAACCTGTGGGCAATGACTTTGTCTGCTGCCCGCGTACCAGTCTTGCCAAGTTTGCCAAGACAGGAGACTGGAAGATTCTGCGTGAGAGTATGGCTGCCGAACAGGAAGCAGCTGCGAATGCTTCTGCGGTCTCTGCGCATGTCGGACCCGCAGGAGTCCTTGTGGGGCTTGCCAAGCACATGGAAACAGCAACGAAAGCGTCGCGTGGAAGATTGATTCAGCACGACGGTTTGCGAGCCACAGGGCTGATCAATATGGGCAACACATGCTTCATGAACAGTGCTCTACAGTGCTTTGTCCACTCGCCAGTGTTCCGCGAGTACTTTTTGTCGAACAGATACGAAGCAGAAGTCAACAAGAAGAACCATCTCGGAAGTCGTGGTGCAATGGCGGCAGCGTACGCACAGCTTCAAAGCTCTCTCTGGCGTGAACGTGACCAAGGATATTTGCTCCCCGGTCGTTTTCGAGACGAGTTTACGCGTGTCCGTCGCCACTTTGAAGAAACGCGCCAATATGACGCGCATGAGTTCATGGTAGCTCTTCTGGACTGTCTGCATGAAGACCTGAACCAAGGCTGTCGAATGATTGCAGCATCAGCCGACGATGAGATTCAAGATCGAAGCTCGAGATGTCTAACCTTTGGTAGTTTTAACGGTGGCAGCGAACTGGAAAGTGTGGACGGAGACGAACAAGCTGACCATAATGCGACTGATTCATCTTCTGACGAAGTGCGCGGTAATGCAGCGTGGCGCGACTACACGAATGTAAACTCGTCGGTGGTGGTGGATCTGTTTCACGGACAGATGCGCAGTGAGACTGTTTGTGCTACTTGTGGGGAGCGCAAGTGCACCTTCGACCCGAATCTGTTCTTCAGCTTACCCATCCCCGAATCGAGTTTTGTTCGTGTTGAGGTGAGTGTGTTGTTACAGGCACGGAAGCTTCCAGGTGGCGACGACGATGAAAATGACCCAGAAACGGCCCTTCAAGCCGTGCAGCAAGGGTTCTGGCTTCGTCGAGGAAGTAATGTGGGAGAACTGTGCGATCGCATTGCAGAGGTACACGGTCGGGCAGCTGGAAACCGGTTTCTGCTTGTGGAAGTGCGTCGGAATCGGATCAAGCGGATTGTCGAGGGAGATGAAGTTGTGGACAGGCTGGCCACAGCTGCACCTGGCTCGCTTTCTGCGTATGAGCGCGCATGGACGCTAGCGGAGATCCCTGTCGTTCCTGCGATAATTCGCGAGTATTTTAACGACTTGAACGTAGCGGATGAGGCAAAGACGATCGCTGCTGAGAAGGTCAGAAGCTTTTCCGATCTTCGAGTGGGATCACGTGTCGATGCAAGGGACAACCACAATGATTGGCACTCAGGAACGGTAATTGAAGTAGCTGGAGGCGGTGAATCCGAACAAGTTCCGCGCGTCAGCGTCCATTTTGATGCGTTTAGCAGTAAGTGGAACAAGTGGTTTACAGCTCGTGACTGGAAGGCGAAACGACTACAGCCGCTTGCAACTCGCACGTCCAAGTCGACTGAGGTATTTGAGGTGCAAGTTGTGCATCGCTTCACCTCCCAAGCCTCGACAACTGCGGCGTCGGAGTCTGGTCAGACTAGTGGTGGCGATCATTCGTTTACTGGCAACCTCCCGAGCTCGCAAAAGCTGAGCATTGCGAGTTCACATAGCAGTCCGTCGTTGAATGTATTTGGCACGCCACTCTTTGTCACGATCGCATCCGACAAGACTGCCCGAGACATGCACCAGGCACTTTTCCTACAGATTGCTCGATTCTGGACAAAGTTCAATGGTGATCCCGAGTCTACTACCGACACCAGTCACAAAGATTTGAAGCAAATGAAGCTACCGTATGAAGTTCGCGTCGTAAACCTGGAGGACCTAACAAGCGAACGTGGTGAGTCTCTGCCCACAGAGTCAAGCGCGTTGCTGCAACACTTCTCTACGCGAAGTGTGCTAGCTTTGGATTGGTTTGATGTTCATGACTATTCGAGTTGTGAGGAACGAGCACCTGAAGACGTGCCAGATGAAGTTGTTGAAGCTGCGAAAGCGGATCCGGATTTACGTGCTGATCTTGATGCTGCAGCGTCTTCTAAAAAGAAAACAGAGCCCGAAGAGAAAGCGCCAGTAGTCGACGACGACAGCCCACCCATGTATGCTGTGCCTTTGACCAAGTGTATGGACGCGTTAATGCGCGAAGAAGCCATTTCCCTGGAAGATCACTGGGTCTGCGAGCACTGTGGTGTCCCACGTGAAGGTAGGCGGTTGTCTGCCATTTGGAGACTACCAGATCTGGTCATGGTGCAGCTCAAACGCTTCCAGTATCTCGAGAACCAACACAAGCAGAAAGTTCGATCACTTGTCGATTTTCCGCTCAAAGGTCTGGACTTCTCGAAGTGGATGGGGCATCAAGATGAGGGTTCGTCAGTGTATGATCTCTATGCTGTGGCTAACCACGTCGGTGGACTCACTCGGGGTCACTACACGGCCTATTGCCGCTACGACGCCGATTTCCCAGAGAGCTTAGCACTCTTCCGAACAAACGAAGAGAGCGGCGATGTCCAGTGTCCCGAGCTCTGGTTCCGCTTTGATGACGAAAAAGTGTCTGAAATTGCAGCGGGCGACGTGGTCACGGATGCCGCCTACGTGTTGTTTTATAAGCGCCGCACCTTGTCACCCCACAATGTACTTCGATATGCACTCTAGCGAACTATGAGATAGACGAGAAAAAAGTACTTACAACGATGATTTCGGAGGTGCAAGCCTCGGTTCGTCTTCCTTCGATTTACCCGCCGACCCGCTTGAACACCTCTAATACCACTGCTTCACACACAACTTATCAGAAACTCTACCCTTTGACGCATCCTTGGCTGTCCATAACATTCGCTTGCGTCTTCTAAATGCCGCACAGAAACTCCGTTGAGAGCGCACCGTTGCTATTGTCGACAGCGGCATTCCGCTGAGCTCTTCGCAGCTCCTTCTCAAGGCGTGCTGTCGTCTCTTGAGCTTGGTGCAATCTCGATCGCAGTGTCGCCCGTTCCAGTGCCAGTCGCTGGATCGTCTCGGTGGGCTATGAATATCGAGGGGCAGAACGCGAATGGAACGGCAAGAGAACGTCGTCGTCCAGAGGCAGAAGCAGAGGAGGTACCAGAGGAGTCGTCAGCACTCCAAGACCAACTGCGCACTACTACAAAAAGCGGAAACCATACACAGCACAGACCCGACACAGGCCCAACACGCCAGCATTAGACCCCAGTGACTGAATGCTACCGCATCGAGCCCATGCAGAGCCTGCTCTACAACCACTTACTTACTTTTGCGAGAGCCTCCGTGTCCACTCCATGGGCGTTCAAGTCGGTGATGTCGGATCCAGATCGTTGAAGTCGCAACGTGGCAATTTCACGCCGTAAATGAGTCAACTCGTCGGCTTTGCTATCCTCGCTCGCATTCTCAGCTTTCTTCTCGTCCCCCGCAGCCGCCGCCAGCAAAGAAGAAAGCAACTGAAGATTGGCGCCACTACGTTGCCGCTTACCTTGCAGGTCACGCACCGTTTCTAAGAGCTTCGCGTTGTCCTCCAGCGCACGATCCAGCAACGTCTGGAGTTGTACTGGAGTCTCGTCACTGGGTGCCTTCATCTCCGAAACTGATATAGTGGATTGTGAAGCCTTTATCTCTCGCTCCAGATCTTCAATGCGTTTTTGAGCTGCCTGGAGAGCGTTCGCAAGCTGCTGCTTGTCGTTTTCGTCCTCTCCTGACTCGCTGCTGTTGCGTAGACTGTGTTCCAGACGCTCAACTTCACGTCGAGCTGCCTGCTGCTCATGTTCCAACGCACGAGCATCCTCTGCAGCCTTCTCATCGAGCACCTGCGCCATTTCGTCGCGTTGAGAGCGCACAGTTTGTTCCAATTGCTCCAGCTTTTCCCGCAGTTCATTCTCAGCCTGCGTCTGCTTGGCTTCCTCATCAGCTGCCAAAGTTCGCAGCTGTTGGAGCTGGAACTCTGCGAATTTCGTAGCGGCACTGGACGTCTCCAGCTCGTCTTGCGTGGTCTGCAGCTCTTTCTCTAGACGCTGGATCGTGTCCTGATACAAGTCAAGCTTCCGTCCAAGACGTGAACTCAGCGCGTTCACACGACGGATCTCTCGGTACGTATCGCTGACGCCTCCTTCGCCATCTTCACTGGCATCGAAGCCATCCATCGACATGCAGTCGTCACCGGCTTCATCCTCATCCCCAGAAGCGTAACTAGTCGAGTTCGAGTCCGTGACCACCGAAGAGCCGGACTTCGGACTCGGTGGACTGCACAGTATTGGCCTCTTCGTGTACATCAACTCCGTGACTTCATCAAACAGCGAGCGGTACACGTTGAGCATTTCCTGCATCTCCTGCATCTCCTCGCTGGGTACAGTGGACGCTTCCAGAATGGGTGTCTCCTGTTCGTCCTCTTCGCTGTCTTGCTGCGGAGCCACAGCCATAGGCACAGCATCACTAACCCGACGTCGCTCTTCCTCCACAAAGGCCTTCCACTCTAGCAGCTCACAAAGCTCGTGACGGATCAGATCATTCTCCGCCTCAGCTTCTTGTGACCGTTGCAGAAGTTCGTCGACTCGATTCTGCTGTTCCTGGACCTTCTTGTGCAGCTCACGTTCTCGTTTCTCAGCTGCAGCCAGAGCAGCGGCATTCTCGTCGTCGTCAGCAGAGTGCTCCTGGTTGTCTACATGATGGTAACGCGCAGCAGCACCGTACCGCTTGGGTGTGGGCAGCATCGACATCCGTGGAGCTTGAAGCTTACTCGGCTTCAGTTGGTGTGGCCGTCGACTGAGCTTGTAGCGATCCGGGTCAAACGTCACCTCCTTGTACTCCTCAAAGCGACAAATCATGCGGTACAGCAGCATTTCAAGTCGATCACAACGAACTTCCACGACGTCACGCTCTTGTTGCTGAGGTTCCTCTTCGTTCTCTGCAATATCCACAGGAGCCATCGCGCCACTTGAACGTAGTAGCTTCTGCATCATATCTAACGCTGGTTCCCATCGATTCTGCTTCTTCTCCTGAGCTTGAGCTTGAGCTTCAGCCTCATCTTCCGCGTCGGCAAGCGCCTTCAGTCGCAGCGAATGATCAGACGAATCGCCTTGAGGGACGGAGCTGATGGTGCCGACGCTGCTACGTAAGGTGGCGATCTCTTGCATCAACTTCTCGATCTGCTCTTTCAGCACAGGGACCAGCGAGTCGGCATCCTCGTTCTGTACGGCATTGTTCTTGATAAACTTGGCGCGTTGGGCGAATTTCAGCGTGCTCAGCGTCTCCGTGAAGTACTTTTCTTCGGGCGAAATGGTAGCCACAATGCTCGTGATAGCGTTGCCACCCAGAGCGTCACGCAGAAGGAACGTAAGCTTCGAGTCGCGGTAGTGCACGTGTCTCTTTTGGCCGTTACTGACGTCAACCAGCGCCATGATCACGTTACCCAGCGCTGATAGGGACTTGTTGATCTGTGCTGCCTCCTTCAGTCGTTTGCCATGCACTCGCGTCTGTCGCTGCTTCTCGCTACCTGCCAGATCCACCAAATGCAAGCAAGAGCGACGTGTACGCTTCACACCAGCCGACGTGCGCTCCTCCAACACCAATTTCACCGAGAAAACCGCGTGTGAGCGTGAGCTCTCGCGATTCATATCTGTTGACGAGATGTGACGGTTCTGGGAGCCCAGCTGCAGCAACGTCAGCGCTTCTTCCTCACTTCCCACGTCGATCTCACGTAGTTGGTCCACATAAACCTCTTTATTGCGATCTTCTCGAAGACTTTTCGGCTGTTGAGCGGCAACGGAGCCTGTAGGTTCCAGCAAGTCAAAGACCTTCTCGTTGTAAATCTCCAAGTACGAACATGCCAGTGTGTACTGCAGAGCGCGATCCTCTCCTTCTCCACAGTAGAACGCAGCGTTGCGCTCTCGTGCCAGTGCTGCGAGTCTCCGGAACAAAAAGTCTAAGATACGAGGCGTCAGGCCGCGCAATGGCGAGAGTCTCAGTTCATGCGCGTCTGCTGTGGATGCTCCAAGCATCGTAAAGGTTTTCCCCGAACCTGTCTGGCCGTAGGCGAAAATGCTGCCATTGTATCCCTGAATAGTGTTCTCTACTGCCGCTCGGCCGGCATCCTGGAAAATATCGTCCTGTTGACAGCTCTCCGTGAAGACGCGGTCGAAGCCGAACCTCTTCTCCTGTTGGGATGACGGCGCCAACGTCACGCCGCGTTGGTCCGGTGCTACCTCCAGAACTCTCTTGCTGACTTTACCAGGCGACGGGCGGATACGAAGCAGCACGCGGATATTATCTGACGGTGTATCGGACTCGCTGGAGGCCACGAAGCTCGAAATGGAAGGCACTGGACTACTCTGTGGTCGTGGCACTTTTGGAGGAGTTTTAGCTTGAATCGGAGGCTCGGGTTCCTGCACCTGATTGTTTATGTGACTGGCAGGGAACTGGAGTCTCTTGGTGGAACGTTGGAGCCCTGGGGACGGCGTTCTCGCTGGTCTAGCTACGGGTTCTTGGGCTTTGGCTAAACCCGCGCTGGGAGGAGTCAGGAACGACTTCTTGCGCCCACCCAGGCCTGGAATTCTGCAGTTCAAAGAGGGCATTAGAAGGACGTCGTGGAGTTTCGAGAGAAGCTACGCACCGTGACGACGGGATCGGCATTTTTTCAGCGCCTGGGGCTTCTCTCTGTCAATGTGGAGGTGGCCAGACGCGCCTGTTTTCTGCCAAGGAGTCGTAACTGAAGAGAAAAAAAGAGAGAAGAGCCCTGCCCTCGTGCTAAGCCTTGCTAAGCCGTGGGAATGGCTAACGCGACCTGGCTTCTTCCTCGAGGAGGCGGCGCAGGAAGTTCGGCGCACACACTCTGGTGGCCGAATTGAAAATGACGAGAGAGAACCGGATTTGTACACTAATTTGTGGAAGGTTACGTACGAATTAGTTCATCCGGCTTGATGAGATGGTGGCACTAGATTCAGAAGCAAGTTGTACAGCTGCCGAGATGTGACATGGCTACAATCCTTGCCAATATTCCTTCTGGCGAAGAGACACAGGTTGAAGTGGGTGCTAGATCTTAGAGTTTAGGCGTGAAGTGTGTGAAGTGGAACAAGGTTTATCTACTTAATTTCCAGAATGAATCTCGTGACATAGGGCTACAATTGTGCGTTTTTTTCGTGAATCACGGCTACGCTTTCTTTGACGCACACTTGCGGTTCATTGCTTTCCAGGTCAGATATAGCTTTGCATATTAGCCGTCATGTGCGAGATGATTATCTTTATTAGCTGTCCTATTCTAAGCATCATTTCAACACCACTCAGAGGGCCTGTCATTCTCGTCTCGTCCTCGTAAAAGACTGGATTTGTCCGCCCTGGCGAGCAAAACTTCACAAAGCGTGGCTTAACGCCTTTCGTAGGCATAAATATCAAGGTCAGCGAGTGGATAACATCACGATGATGTACCCTGGTACTCGTGGGCCTTCGTCTAGAGTGGCAGTCGACCTCGGACAGACGGACGGAACTATTGACGATGGCTGGCCTACAAACGAGCCAAACCAATTGCCTCCACCTGGGCGTCCACAACCTATGAATGCTCCAAGGGTGCGATCATATTGGCGTCGGCGATACGACCAGTGGGCCCGCGACGACGACGAAACCAGAACTAGAAAAGCTTATGCCCCCGGTACAATTGCGACGCTCCCGATGTCCATGCAGATTGCATTTCGGCGCAAGATGCTGTCAATCTTTGCGCTCCAGCTAATGCTACTTACAGCTCTTGTGGCTTCGCTAACGTACAATTCCACCTTGAGCGAGTGGACACGCAGCACGTTCAAGAGAACTACTGACCTTGTGGGACCTCTGATCGGTTCAATTGCTGCTCTTGGTGGCGTATATTTCGTGCGCACTCGCTTCCCATTGAATTGGGTCATGGTCGCAGCTTTCAGCGTCGTGCTGAGTCTTTTGGTGGCAGGTGTTCAGACTTGGCTGGATACACCCGCCGGGTTATTTTGCTGCGGCTTCACGTTTGTGACTGTGTGCGTCATGATCGTGCTTTCAAGTCTTTCATATCGATACCATGGGGATGCAATTCCTTCAGGTCCAAGTGCTGGCTTACAGCCCGATACGGACGGTGAAGTGGTGCTTCGCTCGTCGTTAGTTTCAGGCTGTATAGCCTTCGCGATTTCCGCAATCATTTCGGGCATTCTTTATGGTATTCTAGGTGACAGCGACGATTTTGTATCGCTCCGAGCATTGGGATATTCATTGGCATTGGAGTTGGTACTTATCGTGTGGTTCTCCTATGACGCCAGTAGCATGTACAGCATTATGACGCCGGACGAGTACATGAGCGGAGTCGTGTACTTCTACGTGGACCTTATAGTGCTCACGTGTGCCGCCTTCTTCCTCGCCGGCATCATGTTTGTAGCTGCCATGTTTTGCCCCACTGCAAGCTTTGGCTACTGCAACTGCAACGGATGCTTGTGTTTTAGTCGAGCACGACAGGAAGAAGAGAATAACGACGCAGGCGTGATTCCGTACGACGTCGACGAAGACAGAACCATTTCTTACGGTGCAGTCGAGACCGCTCGAGACATAGAACGTGGATAGCAAGCATTCTCAAGTCGAAATTGACACTGGCGCTCGCCATTCAATTGCAAGACCCCGTCGAGTTTGATACACTTGTCTCGTCTCATGTATTTTAAAATTACCGAACCGGTACTGAGAGAACAGAAACTTTAGGTTCTACCGGTATTTGATAGGCTAAAAAAGTCCGCGAGTGTTTATGGAGCAGGAATGGCAGCAAGTATCGCGCCGTCGGCGTGGTAGGCCTCGTAATGAGGCTTCTTGTCCCCGAATCGCCCGATCGAAGACCTCGAGAGCTGATACTAACGGTAAGAGGTTCTTAATCAACCGTAACATTACCTCCGGAAATGGCTTCGTGTCGCTGTATTGTATCAGCGACGGGTTCGCTGTTTCCCAGTCTCTGGTGCATTGATTCCAAACCTTGCGCTGCTAACGTCCTATGAGATTTAAAATCAGACAACTTGTGCGCGTTTTCGGTTGATCAATTTGCAGCTGGAGAAGAGGAAGTGGAACCTGTGCCCGAGGTGTCCACGAACAAGCAAATGCAGATCATTGGACGAGTGCGCAGCATTGCCGACGTTCTGCGAGATTCATTGCTGCTACAAGATGCGCTGCGCGTTATTACGGACCATTTTGCGCTGAATGCAGTCAAGAAATCAGTTGATAGAGACGTTGAAGGAGTTGACACAGAAGAAGCAACCGACTACAGCCCAACGCTCGTAGGCTACGGACTCGGGAGCTTCTGCGCGTCTTCCAATGCTGTGCATCAATTGGGATTCCTGGTAGCGTTGACGGAAGCTCTGGGTGGAAGACAATCCGAAGCAAATCTGCACTGCGCCGAGATTTTCGACCCCGCCATGAACCAGGTCAAACTGCAGCACCCTCATATTTATCCAATCCAGCAAACTAACGCTTTCCATGATGATCGACAAATTAGAGTGACGGTGCGATCGCGGAGCATTTTCAGTTGAAGGTAATCCAAGAGAACGAGCATGGGCGACGGCGCGTAGCTTCCAACACTGTGTTCTTCATGCCGCATTGTGGCATAGCTCTGTACCAGAACGTGCTGGCTTGCAACTGGGGTCCTGCCATCAAGAAGCTTGTAATCATCGGCAATAGTTTCTCAGCATACGGAGACCGCTTGATTGGAGCTAAAGAGCGCGGAGAGGTGCTCCTTGTCAGTGTATTGCCATATCTGGACGAAGTGCCTTTGCCTTGCGGTGTCGCCAAACGTCACGATGACTTCTCGCGCTATGAGGCGGCGTTCAACGATCTAAGTATACTCAGATTCCAGCCCACGGTACTGGACCGTGCGCTACGAGACGACCAACTCCTCAACGAGAAGATGGCCACCGTAGCTATGACTGAGACAGGGAAGCGTGGCCCTAGTTCCAAATGAAAACCAAGTTTGAATCTGAGAGTACCATAAAGCCTGTGAGTCTCTTATTCGAGCAAATTCTAGGTCGAGACCCGTCACTAGGTACATGCAGTGACGTATGAAACCCCGATAACCGTAGAAGAAATCATACGGCGCAACGGATTTGCCTGTGGCTGCTCGCTGACAAGAAACTGGAGACCCCTTCAGTCGAGTCGGATAGGCCCCTCCGATAACTTCTCCAACGTCTGCAGCATCGCACATCCAACGCGTCGGCGAACGGAGCTCCAGATCCCAAAAATACAAGTCCAAGCTCTGCATTGCCGTCGTCCGTTTCCGTCAGCGCACACGTTTCTCCTTCTGTGGTACGGACTGGCACTTTTCATCTCTTCTGATGGCATTTGCCAGGTGCATTGGAGGCGAGCCTGACCCTTTGTGTTGTGCAGCTGTGCCCCGTGAGATTCCCCTTGGACGGATGAAAGTGCGTCAAATTCTAGGCTGGACACGCCCCACAGACATGGCTATGAGCAGCTACCACAGTAAGAGACCCGGAATATCCAGCAGCTCCAGTAACAACCGGGAACACGAACATGACGTCTCTTACGAAGCTATGAACAATTTGTCGACCAACAAGCTACATGCACCTAAATCTGGTGCGTCTCGGGTTAGAAACAACAATTCGAAGGATGTTGAGACTTCCCGTACTGAAAACGTAAGCAAAGTTGTCTGTTGTCATCACTTTGATAGCTAGGACACTAATGTTTCTTGTGATCTTTAGATTAAGAGCAGCCCAGAGAGCCCAGAGGAGCCTGAGGACAAAGTATCTGTTACAAAAACGATCTCACCGCAAAGTAGTCACGGTCACACAGGAAAGGAGAAATCTCGCGCTGTTCCATGCAGCAACGTAGACAACAGTAACAGCAGCATAGCGTCATCTTCATTGGGTGCTTTAACGACAAACACAGCAGCAGCTACCTCTTCACCGACGGCTCCACCACCTCCGAAAGTGACATTCCGTAAGGGCGAGAAGAGTTTTCTCGACTTCCACCAGCACTACGCCATCACGAGACACTTGGGAGAAGGCTCGTACTCGACGGTGAAGCAGGTGACGCACCGCAAGAAAGGAGGCTTTTATGCCTGCAAGATCGTGGACAAGTTGAGTCTCTCGGATGTGGATCGTGCAGCTCTTTCGCATGAAGTACGAGTGCTGTCGAGTGTCAGCCACGTGAACATCATGCGTCTGTATGAAGTTATTGAAGACGACGCCAAGTGCTATTTAGTCACGGAGCTGGCTGAAGGAGGCGATCTCTTCGACCGTATCGTTAAGCAAGGTAAATTCCCAGAGCGAGAGGCACAGAAGGTAGCAGCAGCGTTAGTGGAAGCGCTCCACTACTGCCACAAACACAGCATCATCCATCGCGATGTCAAACCGGAGAACGTGCTGCTATCTGGAGACGATGTCAAGCTGTGCGACTTCGGCTTTGCTCGGCAACTCGATCATCAAGAAGACCAGGCCTCAGACTCATGTGGAACACCTGGTTACGCCGCTCCCGAGATCCTAGACGGACGTTCGTATGGTCTGGAAGTCGACGTGTTCTCGCTGGGTGTCGTGACGTACATTATGCTGTGCGGATACCCTCCCTTCCCAATGAAACTTGCCCAGCTGCGTACACATCGCTTCAATGTGCGGTTTCCATCCAAGGACTGGGCTGCTATTCATCCTGATGTCAAGACCTTAATTTCTAAAATGTTACATGTCAACCCGAAGGAGAGACCGTCGATGGCAGTTCTTCGAACGCACCCGTGGATCCAGTTGGGTAGAGTCACGCTGGAGCGTCTGCGTAAGGAAAACGAGGAACGTCGACGTCTTGCTGATCTAACGCGACGTCAACACGCAGCTTCAGCGATCCGAAAGAAGCTCGTCATGGGCGGCTTCGAGGCTGTTAAATACGGTCGCAATGGTCTGCCACATCGCACTAAGCTACGTCTGTCAACTGACGGTAAAGTCATGAGCTGGCAACCAAAGCTACTGAAGCGAAGCCTGCTGCGGTATCAGAATGCACGCAGCTTTACAAGTATCTTCGGTATTGGCGGCAAGGAAAACAGTCAGCCAGACCTGCATGCTCCACAGTCAGAGCCGAAGCGAATCCCGACTGGCGGTACGCCTAACAACGCGCACGATGAGTCTGAGCACACTGCTAACGCTGCTTGCGTGTCGTCCCCTCATCCCACTGACAGCTCGACCAGCAGCACTTCCGACGCTATTAACGAGAAGCGTCTGTGGTGGCGTTCGCTACGTCGGGAGCGTGGTGCGAAGACTGAACGCACGGCCAGTGGTGGATTCACACTCAACCTTTCCGCTCGACAGACCGGCAGCACCCCGACATCGCCAATAACGCCCCCAGCAGCAAAGGTGCTTCGGATGCGAACACCTAGCTCCATCTCGGAGCAGCCTGAGACCCCTTCCGCGCTGTCTCCGGAGCGTCTGGACGACTCAATCAAACTACACGACATCCGCCAACTGCTTGCCGGTGATGACGCGCCGTTCTTCGCTGGCCACGCTATGAACTTGCCTAATTCCTCCAAACGCGCGGTGGATCCTGCTTGTGTGCTGTCCGTATGCACTCGATTCCGCGAACTTCATCTCGAATTCCCGAACGAAGGTATACGTGATGGATTCATCTATTTACTCCAGCAAGCCACGTTGCCATTGCAGCAGCGTGGCCCAGTTCAGTCTACACGAGTGGTGAAGGCGTCGTCAATGCCACCACCCGCACCAACCAACGTGTCCGACAGAAAACAAGATACTTTTGTGGTCACGACGCCACCCGATGAAGAGGCTAAGATCCAACCTGATGATCGTGAACATAGCAGTGAACCAGAAGTCGACGAAGAGGATGTGGAGGCCGTTGCGAAGACAGCGAGGGCAGTGAACTCCAACCAGGACGAGTGACTTTCTCCTTTAATTATTATTCGCGGAGTAATTTCGATAATCCAATAATGGGAAAAAAGATCCTCATTACTGTGATTCTTGATAGCAAAGTTATCGATTACTACGTAGTAGAAATCCTTATTGATGAAGTCCTGATACATAGAATTGTGTTTTGTTACGATCTCTAATCCCCGAAAGATTTTGAAGCTTGACGCCGCACTCTTGAGGTTGGAGAGAATGCGTCCTCTTCTCCACCTGAATCCATGCAGACGCCACTGGAGCCTGCGCGTTGTCTTGAGTCGACGTGAAGATCTAGAACGTCACTTGAGTTTCGATGTCGTTCCATTGGCTTGCCTCGTGTTGACGGTAACCGGTAAATCGATTTTCGACGTGCGAGTACGATTCTGCGATTGAAGACGGACGAGCAAGCGAGGAAGACGGAGATGGCAGCCACAAAGAGCAGGTACGTCCGACGCGATACAAGCTTCGATGCGTGAGCCTTAATCATGAAAATGAGCGCAAGTTCTCCAATCTGACAGAGACCAACAGCAGCCATGAGAGCCTTGCGAGGACTGATACGAAAGAAGGTCATGACTCCAGTCATGGACACTGTCTTAATCCCCACGATCAGCAACACCATGGACAAGATCTCGCCAGCGTTCCGGATCAGGAACATTGGGTGCAGAATCATACCCACACAGGCGAAAAACATGCTGCCGAACAAGTTTTCCATCACCCGGATCGACATGAACGCAGCCTTGGCATTCCCAGACACGTGCACGAAAGCAAGACCAGCTAGAAAAGCCCCACACTCGAGTGAAAGACCAATCATCTCAGAGAAAAGTGCCATGAACAGACACACAGACACCACTCCTAACAGAACCAAAGGAGCGTTGTGTACTTCCTCCATGGCAGTCAAAAAGCGCAGCAGCTTCGGCACTACGTATTGGTGCAGACATACGGTCATGCTGACTACCACAGCGTAGGCCACAATAGTTCGTACCATGGCGACACCAATCCATCCGACTGAGCGTACGGAAAACCACTCGGGCGTGCCTAGAGCAAAGCTCATTAACAAATCTTGGATCGCGATAATCGACGTGACCGTCTACAATAAACGAGCAAACACCTTGCGTTAGTACCACAGCAAAGTAGCGAACTAAGACGCGAGTACTGTAAAACGCTTACCCGCCCGAAGGAAGAGTCCTGGATCCGATTCTCCCGAATGTGTTCGTAAAGTGGCGCAGTCGTCGAAAAGCACACACCCAAGCCAATACTCAACCCCTCAATAAACGAATGCGTCCATCCGATGTAGACCGCCACACCAGCAACCAGCAGCACAGTAGACAAGATATACGCCACGCCACCGACAAAATACTTCCTGAAGATATCCTCCGGCTGCTGCGGTGAGTACGCTGCTCCATGTCCAAATAGCAGGAATATAGAGCCGAAGAGTGAGATCGTCTCCACCTCCTTGTACAGTCTCACAACACCCAGACACGACGGTCCCACGAGCGCCCCACCCAGAACATACCCTGCATGAGGAGGGATATTAAAGTACGTAGCAATAATCCCTCCAATCGCCGAGACTCCTAGCAGCACAGCCACTTGCGCCAGCAGCTCCATATCGTAGTGTAACACAGCTGGATCCGCCTTCTTCTCCACCTCTTCCAGCTTCTTCAACTGCTCAGCATTCAGCCCCGTCGTGTTCTTCAAGTGTCCTGTCTCGTAGTCTACTTCTTTGATGCCATTCTTCTCCAGTTTCTGTTCTCTCTCCTCTTCTTCCTGATGAGCCAACACCTCTTTCAGCTTCTTGGACTGCAGCACCTCCTCCTGCTCGACGTGTTCGAGCTCCAACAACGTTCCGTTGAGACCTAAAGCGAGTCTCTTGAGGTTTCTCTGCACTAACTGTAGCTCTTCTCTCAAGTGCTGTCTCTCGCGAAGCTGGGCCTGCGTGTACTTGGCAAACTGGTCGCCTGTGTCCATTTCCTGCAGACTTTTCACTACCGAAAGCTCTAGTTGCTGCACAATGTGGATATGCTCCTCGACCTGGTCGATAGAAACGTCGGTAGCCGTCACCACGGCGTCTATAGTATCTAGGGATCCATGTGTGCTGGAATCCAGGCTCGAAAATGAAAGGGGGGCCATACGAGGCGCAGGTTTCTGGTCAGTGTTGCCAGATGATGAGGCCCTCGTCGCGTCCTGCGCCACTGTGGGCGCTGGAGATGCTGGGGAGGCGGCATGTTCAGGATATGATAGCACGTTGATTTGAGCTACAGCATACTGGTAAGGAGAGAGCGTGAACGCAAGCAGGAGCAGAGATAACGTGACGCCACTTCGAGTGTGCAGCATGGAGATGGCGGCTGACACGTTTTCGACAGGAATGGGTATAATTGCAAAAGCGAATTAATTAATTATGGGGAAGCGGACATAACGGATTTGCTGTTGCCATTTTGACCTATTCTTGCCTTACTTTGTTGAAGTCAGCGGCAGTTGAGCAGCCATAATTCCGGAAACTGCATCGATAGTATCGATTCGATACACCAAGACCTCTTTCTTAGCACCCACACGACGACCTTCCAGATGCATGTAGAATCTGCTCCCAATTACAAGCAGATGCCCCCTCCCTGCCGCCATTGAGTGTCAAACCTCCACCCTCAATGCGTTCGCGAATGCGAGAATTCACTGCGTACCGTTTATGAATTGCCTACCATGAACTGCTGGCCGTTGCCATTTCTCATTCTCCTCCAGGACAATGGCGTCTTTGTCTCCGTTCACTTCATGGCAAAGCGCGTTACTTCATACGCAAGAAGCTTGGACAGCATTGCAACCGAAGCTCCTCCCATACGCGAAGTCGAACGCGCTGACTGTGGCTCTGCAGATCCTGCTCGTCCTCATCGCACTCACGTGGCTGGCGAGTGTCTTGACACGCAACTACTCGTTCACTGACCGTCTTTGGTCTATCACTCCACCGATGTTCGCCTGGCACTTTGCCTTTCACGCGTACCTAAAAGACGGTGGCGTTTGGGATCAGCGACTGCTGCTGATGGCGGGTTTGACGACGTCGAGGGGCTGCAGACTCACGTTTAATTTCTGGCGCAAAGGGGGTTACAAACTTAGCGAGGAGGACTATCGTTGGGCTGTGGTGCGGCAGTACATGCACTGGACTCTGTTCGAAGTACTGAATCTTACGTTCATCGCCGGATATCAGCACCTGCTGCTGTTGCTGCTGGCTGTGCCTTCGTATGTCGTGTATTTCCACCGCCACGAGGAGTTGAACGAGATGGATGCTGTCGCGACTGTGGCATTCCTCTTGTTACTCGTGCTTGAGACCGTGGCTGACCAACAGCAGTGGACCTTTTACAGCATTAAATACGAGCTGATCGCACAGAAGAAGCAGCTTACTGGAGACTATAAGGCCGGCTTCAACCGCAGTGGTCTCTTCCGCTACAGTCGTCACCCGAATTTCTTCGGCGAGATGTCGCTGTGGTGGGCATTCTACCTCTTTAGCGTTGCAGCATCAAAGCAGGCGTTCAATCCGGCAAGCTTGGGCACGATCTTGCTGGCGTTGCTGTTTCAGGGATCCGCACCATTTACGGAGTACATCACGGCGTCAAAATATCCGCTGTACAAGCAGTACCAGCGTCGGGTGCCGATGTTTACTCCTTGGCTCCCGTCGACTGTACCAAGCTCTGACATCCACCTGGAGTAGTGTCAGAAGTTATGCTGCCGATGCAGTAATCCGAACGCGACCAGTTCAGGACCACTTTTCAGACGTCAAAGTCACGATGAAGAAGACCTATTTGATGGCACATCATACGGTGCAGAAGCGCTAGCTTAGTGCACTGATGCATTTTGGATCATTGTTATCGGGTGGGAACTCGAGAACGGATGGCCATTAACATTCTACCTCTCGTCGACGAACAATTCCAGACCACCTCCAAGTTGCGGGTTTAATAGCTAAAAGGGACACACATTGCATTAGCCACATACATAAGCTCATGATCTCTACAGAAGCCTTAGCCTCGTACTACAGTACTAATTCGCAAGCGTATTCACCCGCTACTAATGTAAACACGCTTCCATAACCCCAACTTCGTTCCCAAAGGTACTCACTTACAAAATGCCCCAATCATCTTTGCTTTAACAAAGAGCATATCTGCCGTATTTCATAGCTCGGTGGCGTCTATTTGCAAGAATAAAATGTCAGTCGAGTGGTGACATTGCGCATCAAGTAGCCCTGAGCGAGCTTGCGCCTTGCCGTTTTTCAGAAGCGGTTCTTATATGGAAGTTTCTTAGGCGATGTCATTACTGAGCCACACACAGCCTCTTTTCCAGAAGTTCACCGTACGCTTAGTAAAACCTGGCGAAACAAGCGTCTATCTTTTCACTTTGTGGTGCATTAGTGTTCAAGCTCTGTAGTGTCTTTCGACCCTTGTGCTTTTTGCTTGCTTGAGAATTCGGAGGCTAAATGAATTCTGTTATTGATCTCTCAGCTCTCACTACTCTGTAGTAGTTTCTGTTCGTTTCCTAATTGTTGTCTTCCTCCTAATATGCATCATACATTGCCCGAATGTTGTCGACTTGCCCTCCGGTCGTTGCACCGCTCATCGGTTGCTATCAGGCTGCAACTGCTGTCCGTCGTTTGCTTGCGTTGCTGCGTTACGTCTGCTGAAATATTTTAAGCCACCACTACAAGCTCGCAGCTCACGGCTCTAGGTGGATGCGACTTGTCTAAAATTGGCTTTATAAAGGACTTTGTGATGAGCAAGTGGTCCGGAATTGCTCGCGGTCCGGAACTGGACACCAACGGATCAAAAGCGCGTGCACGCGACGCCAATCTCTTGTTTAGCGTCAAGGCGGCTGCATTGCAACCAGCAAGTCTTTGCAGTGCAAGATACATGCACGGGACTCAGTGTTCTTTTACTGGCAGTAAAGCGGGTTTTCTCAGTGAATTTACCTAAATCTTAAGTTTTAGCTACTAATTTTGTGTAGCAACCCAAAACCTACAACAAGCTGCGCACACGGCCGTTCGCTTAGGACAGGGGGAAACCGGTACAGTAAAACGCCCAACCCTGTGTGTTTCTGTTCGAGCAAATTTTTAGGTGGAAAAATGCGATATTTCAGCAGACTATCCTTTACCGGTAAGTACTGATGAGTGTTCATGCTTGGTAACCATGCTGCGATTACTCGACTCCCTCCACAATGTTGTCTAAGTCAACTTGTCTTGCACTGATGACTTGCAGCCTGCAGGTTACCATGGCTGACAACGTTAGTGCTATGGACGGCAAGTGCCTCGAGGGCGCGTCATTGAAAAGCTTTCACAGTGTGACACCGAGCTAGAAGTTCTAACTTAGAACCAATTCCTTTGATTTCTTTAGCCCATAGTTTCCCTCGTATCCGCAAAGATTGTGAATCAGCCACAAATGCCACAAAAAGACAAACAGAAAAAAACGCTCGTACGCGTGTGAAGCGTGATTCCCTCTCAACGGCGTTCTTCTGCGTTGAGAGGGAACCACACTGTCGGTTCTTAAACACTGTCGGTTCTTAAAAAAACTGACAGTGCGGGTATATGATGCTGGCTTCCATTGCGAACTTCGGCGTGCGCTAGTACTTCACAGTGCGAAGTACCAGCGCACGCCCACTTCAAACGACTTAGAACGTAAGAAAATGCTAAAGCTCGCTAAAACGAATGTTATGTTATTCAGAGTTTCATACTGAGCGTCTATTGTCTGGAATCCAGGCTCTGGATGTAGGATCTGCCCAATACTGTACTGTACCAGTACAGTACAGTATCATGGACGGGTGCATTCCAGCACATCATTTTCGTCGCAATGAGTGCCCCTAAGGACACTCTTCATCCGGTGGAGACTTGTCTTCGAAAGCTCATTTCACAATTTGCGTTCACCCAACTACACTAGTCGGGAAACCCCATTTGCACTCCGATCTCAAGGACGATGCGAATGCCTTTCCAAGTCTTGCTCGTACTCCTGGCAACCCTGCTTGTAAGCTGCACTGAGGCTGCCATTCCAGCAAAAAAACAGCTCACGATTGCAACGACGAACTCTACCGCGACCGCCAAGGCCCTTCAGATATTTTTCAACGACGATGCTAAGCAGAACAGCGGCAATGGGTTCCTAAAAGTGGTGACGCTTTCAGCGAGCAACGATGAGCGTGCTAGCGTGGGTGTAATTACATCTGGACAGGGCCCACGAGTTGGAGCTGGAACCACAGTAGTGGCAAACGACGTCCCATCGGGCGAAACTGTGACTGTGACGATCTACAACAACAACGGCCTTTGGCAACGATGTCAGCGGTGGTGGAATCGACTATTTACAGGCTCAGCTGCAAAATCGACTCGTAGGCTTCGATTCGACAATTAGTTTGCAGTAGATGAACCCGTTTGTTCTTCAAAGTGTTTCCTCCTCCTCCGTGGTTGTTTTAGCTACTTTTAGGAGTACTTAGATAAGTGACGTGATGTCAGCATACGATTAATGAGCTATTCTCAGCCCACAAACCTCTTTCGGGCGTTGGAAGGAATATAACGATGCGTCAAGCATTACCAGCTATAGCTTGGCCTCGAAAATAGTATGTTTCCTTCACATATTCGAAGCTCGGCCTTCCTATAGTACTTTGAAGTAAAAGGTGTTTCAATTTTCGGAGCAAAATAGCCTGCTTTTCTATATTCTAGTACAATCACGCATTCGTGGAGGGCCAGTACAAACTATAGTGAGAGAGAGAGAGATGATCATGGACGTCTATACCTGTATCACATTTAAAAAAAAACTTTAGAAGTGTTAGCTGCTCGCGATTAAGTACGCCTTCTTTGATTTTGAGAAAAATAAAGAGATGCTGCTGCCACAGGATAATTTCGTAGTCCACCCTAAAACAGTTGTAAAATAGGACAAATCCTTAGCTTCTAGTTTTCCTCGTAGTAGTAGTACGTATAGGGATTAATTCGGTGTATGTAGCGCACACCAATAGTAGGAATCGATTCGATACAAATTTCAAATGAGCTGGTCTTATTTTCTAACCGAGCTCTATTAAACTCTGAGGGTTTCCCTTTCGTAAAAGGTTTTGTTAAGATATCAAGAGATGTATTTATATTACTCGATTGATGGAAAATAGTGAGCTTCGATATGAGGTGTTCTGTGCAGCACTGGAGTACCAAAATGTAAATGCAGAAGTCTTTGTTGCGAATGTTCCTGACATTGGATATTGCATTTTTCACGTCGTTTGAACGGCAGCCAAGCTTGCAGGCAGTGCTCGGAATATTTTATTTAATATCAATAGTTCTTGTATTTTCATGAAATTATTAACTATTGGAAACTGCTATATCGGGGTATTATTGCTCACGAACACAATATACTACTACACAGTTTGGTGACTGTTCAGGTTGTTGCCGACGGCCCCATGACCGTAGTTGGATGGCCCAGAGCTCTGCAATTCAAAGTCGCTTAGGCGCCGGCATTTAGAGTCAACTTGTAAGCTCACTTTTGATTCTTCTATCTACTGCACAACCTTCACATTGGGCTCTGCACGCAACCGCGACATCTGCCGCTTCTTTTTCGTCGCCGACGCTAGCCACCACTTTGCCTGCAACTACTGTGGGACGAGGCGCAAGCAGCCCCCGTCAAGTGGCTATGTCAATCTGGTGAGCCATCTCAAGGACAAGCACCCCGGCTATCTCGACGACTACGAGTCCCACTAAAGCAGACAGACCGGGTACCAGTGGATTGAGTGGGTCGTCACCCGCAACATGCCCTTAAGCGAGGTCGACGATCCACTCACGAGAACCATGTCCAAGATTAAGCCTGTCTGCTCAAAGACGCTCAAGCGCCACATGTCGCTGGTAGTGGCAGCAGTAGAAGCCTAGATTAACGCTGAAATTTCTGGCCAATATGGTTTTTATGTTTGACGCATCTACGTTTTTCCTGTATGGCTACGTGGCTATCTACGGAGTGTACTTTCACAAGGGTCAGCTCAAGCAAAAGCTGCTCGCCATTGCACCGATGGAGGAAGGTGACCTGACGGCCCAATCACATTACAATTTTATCCAGAAAACCAGCGAGATTTTCGACCTATCAGAGAGGGGCTTGACATTTTTGATTGGTGATAACTGTTCTTTCAACCAAGCTACTGTGTGGTGTAGTGATTTCTCCGTAGTTGCGGATTATCGCCCGTCGACAAAGACGTGACACCGAACAAGATGTTCAAGCGACAAACTCTCGGTCATGTGATGTACGGTGACGCCAAGGTGCAAGGGACTCGACGGCGTCACTACCGAACTCTCAACGGTTATTGGATACGGTCCATATGTCACTGAATCCAGGCTGTCCCTATTATTAATAATGGACTGGCCGGATTCGCATTCAGCGGCCAAGAACTGACCATCTACGGTACGAACCCTCGGTGGCGGTTGGGATGAGTTCGCAGAAGACTCAGCGACCCTTGGAAGACACGTCCACCGTCTGGGACAGGGCGCGGGCCGTTAAAGATACTCATGCGACGGTGCAGACGACGCTTCGCGGGCAAGAAGATCCATAACGGATCATTGTTCACTTGATATTTGCTTACTTGATTAGGACTTCTTATTAGGAATAGACCCGAAAGGGTAAGCATAAATACAGAACAGAATTTCCACTCAAGCGACACAGAGCGACGTCCGGCTTCAAGGTAAGCGTCGGGTATGCTTGTTTGAGTGTGTTATGCCTGTCGGTGATCTCGATGCTCTGTGGCGAGTGTTCATCCGGCAAGGTCTAGAGACTGTGTATTTTGGCCGATTACGATCGGGAGGTTTTTACGTGACGGCTTATTGTTGCCTATTTGCACGACTGGGATTGCTTATTTTGCATCCCTTTTATTCTTCCAACCGAGTGTTGAACACTCGGTGCCCTCGTAAAAGGCTTACCCGTGCCTGGTACCCTTCCGCTGTTGGGACCACGAGGATTCATAACACCTACTAGCTTTGCTCGTGCTAGTAGCGTGTTTTTTTTACTGGTTGGCCTATATAAGTAGTTTACAAGGTTCAGTTTGTCCCGGTGCAACGGCAGAACTGGGGTCTTCAGGTCCGCCCGAAAGATCGTTTTCTATCCTAGTAGACGTATTGTTGTGGGAACGTCCTAACTACGTTTGTAGCTAGAGTTAACGTGGGAATTCCAACACCACAACTGCGACACGCTTGAACGTGCCCCTTATTGGCTGTGCGTCCGATCGCTTTGATCTGGCTGTAAACACCTACTTGAGCAACTACCAAGGCTGAGGTGGACTCGGTCAGCACGCTGATGGCGGTGCTGCGCACGATCCACAACCGCGCCGCTATGCGCGAATACACGCCTCTGTCACCCCTGAGGCCGAACGGCACGGGGTGGAGCTCCACGTTCGAGATGGTGGCTCGCTACGTCCGTTTCCGGGGTGATATCAAGCAAGTTGACTCCGTCTTTGAGCTTACCCCGGAAGGCCGGAATGCACCGACGCATCGAGGCGCTACAGGAAGTCATCTGTGTCTTCCAAAGCGTAGCCCTAAAACTACAGCAGGAGGACCTCACACTTGCCGATGTTCGCGCATTGTTCAACCCCGTTGTCCCGATGACCAAGGCCAAGTTGAGCGCGACGTCTCCTATCGTCCAATCTCCTACTTTTGAGTCTGCCGTGGTGAAGTAACTACGATTTTCATTTTACTTTTATTTGATAATACTAATATTATCGATATGCCAATTACTAGGTTATTAACGGAGAGGTGGGACGTCTGACAGCCGCTGAGCGCAAGGCAATTAGGCCTTTCGAGATGGCAGCGACACCATCACGCTCAGGCAAGAAGCGCAAGCAGCGGGACGTCGAAGAGGAGAAGGAGGACTTCGCGACGTTAGTGCTCAGAGCGAAGAAGGCGAGCGGTGCTTGGCGGACATCGCCCCCGTACGTCAAGTCCCTCGAAAAGCTACCGCCTACCAGCAATCGCTGCGAACGGCTCTTCTCGCAGACCAAGCTTGTGCTGACGCCACAAAGGGCGTCATTGTTGCATGTGAACTTCGAAATGCTAATGTTTCTGCGTGTTAACATCAGTTTTTGGGATGTTACTATGGTGCATGCCGCATACCAGTAGATGTGAAGGTGTTGCACCGTCATTTAGAGCGATGAGGACGTAAGACTGCCAAACTATTTTGTATTTGACAATGAGTATCTACTGTTTGTATGTGTATTGAATAACTTATTATGGAGACTGAAAGCAGGCCGTACACTATGATACGGTATTCTCCGAGCTCTGCTTTCGGGTGTCCGTAAGCAATTTGGGGTGGCGTCTTCTGATGATGTATACCATTTGAGCGTTGCAGTTTATTGAGGGGTACCGGTTTCAGGCGGTAAGTACCCATAAACCGGTAACCAAACCGGTCCAACACGATCACGCGATAATTACGGTACGTTGATTAGACGAGTAGGATGATTGGACGAGTGCAGAATGTTGGTGATTGGATGCACCAATTGATTGGATGACCTAGGTAGTGAGGACTGTGTAAGCTCCGATTAATCAATCACTTCGGAATCTTCCTTCTTCCCCTCAAGTGTCTTCGCTCCGGTCTACTCCCCGAGTGGTGACTCTTCCCTTCGCTTCGTACAAGCCCAACGTTACCTAAAACCCGTGACCACTATCACAGTTGCTCGTGTTGTAAAGCAATTTATGACTCTTATCACGATGGATCATTCATTACGTGTTGGATAATTGATTGCTTAACCAAATCAGAATTAATATTTCGAAGTATTACTCAGGTTCCATTGATGGCTATTAACAAAGCCGGAGATTGTTGGTGTCTATGCTGTTACCCCTCGCATGGTTCTTAATTGATATGCATGTGCAGATCCAGTGGTGGTTTACAACTGTGCAATGAAGGCTGTGAATTTCTCCAGCACCGATGTTTAGGTAGTTCCCGCGTGTCGCCATATTTCGATATTCAATACATCCGTTTATTCCTGAATTCGAAAAACAATCCCGTCGTTCCAGTAGCCTCTGGTAAAAATAGCACATATTTCGCTGTTTTTTTCGCACTACCAGCCCAACTCTCTCGTTTAACCTTTTGTGTAAATAATTTGTTGGTAAGCTATAATAGATCGTACACTATCGCAAAAGGTTTCATATAGACACTGGTTTAGACACAGTTTGAGACTCAAACTGGGCTCAAACTTTGGATTGAGCTCCAGCCTCAGCCTGTGGCTGGATACATATACATGTAGTGCTCTCGACGACGAGTGTGTCTGCAAATAAGCAGACAAGTCCGCTGAGTAAACGCGGGTATTGCCACATGTCGAGAAAAGTAGCGTCGTACCAGCCCAGCTGACTACACTCATGTGTGAAACCAATTGGTCTGTCGCGTTTA